TAAACTACGCTTACGTGAAGAAAAAAAAAAATTGTACATCACGTCCTCTCGAAAGAACCACCTTGTCAGAGAAAAATGATAATTTGACAGTGACATTTTGTTTTTTTTACATTAATAAGTTCGGATACCTGATTTTGAATACTTTAAGCCATAGACTATCACTCTTTTTATTCAACAGGCGCGAATTTTCGAACTTAAAATTATCGCTAAAGTTTTAGTTCCTCTGAGGGCACATCCGGCGATACTTACAATTCACCTCCGAAAATGTCTCGGCGTTACTGACTACAAAGTTTCAGTTCCTTCTGAGGCACATCCGGGCTTACGAGGTTAATTTTGTAAACATATAAGTAGATTATACCAATGAAAGTATTTTTAGTGGCATTCCATCCATTCTATTAAAGAACCTCATTCATTCGACCTCTAGACTTGTACAGTGAGAAATGAAACAGTTATCTGCTATTGTTTATTTGGCGACTATGTTTTCATTTGCTCAGTAAAAGTAGTCTGATCTTTAGAGTATGCACTTTCATTATGCATTTGTAATTTAAAATATAATTAATACAGTAATTTCACTTTTTTTTTAACTATGAATAAGTATTTTTGCCTTCACATTTTTTATAATATCATAGTNAGCGTGAGAATACGCACACAGTCACAATTATTTTAGTGTGAATAAAAATAGCATCGAAATTACCTAAACTTGACATGCCACGCTAGACGTAAACGCTCTTAACCGTAAATGTTCGGTGATAAACGCCCCAAGCTGTATAACAGATGCTGTTAAAACAATATCCGAGTGATGTATACAGCTATAGTTTATAAAAGTGCAGTTTTGGGGAAATTGTGTGCTTAAAAGATAATGCTGACTGTGTATTTTGCAGCTTAAGTAATTCATCTATTTAGTTTGTGATGTAACTGTAATTTGGGTTTGTAATGCTGGCTTATTTTAATGTATCAGGAACTTTTAATGTAGAGAATGTGACAATCCTTTCCGATTGGCGGTCGTGACATAATTATTACTCTTTCCTAGTCTCCGCTGTACGGCTCTGGAACGGCCTTTCGGCCAAATTACGCAAACCTTCTTCCAAATTTATTTTCAAAAAGGCTCTGCGCACACATTTCAAGGAATGACCTTTTTCTTCATTTTCTCGTTATCTCAGACATGAGTGATGTGTACATCTATAATACTATTATGATTATGTATTTATGTGTATGTCTATTATATTTATTTGTATTATGTCATTTATTCTATGTAATCTTATGTAGGTATTATCCAAAATGTAATTTTTTTGCACCGCCTTACTCTTTCTGCATGACCCGCGGTTGACTGACAGACAATACCCTCCGGGTCCGGCATTAAGTCCGCCACAGTGCATTGTTTGTATATGTGCTAAAAGTTTAAATAAATAAATAAAATTATGATTACACACAGCCTCAATCAAATGAAATTTGGAGATGACAGGATTCTATTCAGGACTATTACCACCTCTCGTTCCCACCGCTGCAACTCCTGTGTAGTCAGGATCTGCAGCTTGGCCGCCAATAAAAACCCAACCAGTGAAGATCAAGTTTGTGTCGGGGAAAGTTAAATGAAGAAATAATTCTATTGTCGACTAATGTATAATTTATGGTAAATAAACTTTTATGATGATATGCTATGAATATTGAGTTGAGGTCAACCAGGACTGTTGGCACCACAAGTCAATTTTAGCATCCTATTACATAGGCAGCCAATATACACTTTATGTAAGTTGATATTCCGTTAACTCATAGAAAACCGCAAGCCCTAATGAGATCTTAGCCCAAATTCACTTTCATCAGTAGTAACCATGTCGTAACATATAATAATAATAATAATAAATACACTTTATTGCACACCAAAGATAAGAACAGAAAGAAAAGGAACACACAAGGTACAACTAGGCGGTCTTATCGCTATGAAGCGATCTCTTCCAGACAACCTATGGTGAGGACAGTTACTTAAAAAAAAAATATGAAGGGGAAGGCGGTGTCTACACTAAAGAAATAAATGTAAACAAAAGGCATAAANTCATATAATTCAAGTAGAATCTGATTAAAAAGAGAGACCTTTTCGTTCACATCCTCGGTATCGCCAATTTTATACCATTCAGCATTCACAGCATCGAGTTTAAGTGCATCCATGTTAGAGATTGCAAAATCCGGATTTTTCTTAAATCCGGATTTCAGGATTTGTGTTACGTACAAATCCGGATTATCCGGATTTTTCGAATATTGGGTAAATTTTTTAAACCATCAATTTAAATTAAACGTATTTTTTATGTTAGTATTTGAAGAAAAGCATTTTATTTTATTATCGCGCATGAAATTTATTCCTCTTTTTTTCGGTTTGCGCTACAAGCTTTCGAAATTATTTGAACCTTGCATTATTTTTTTCGTTTTAGTACAACTGCATTTCAGAATAAAAACTTGCTTGTTCCTATAAAATATTTTTTTTATTCTTCTTCTTGTCGTGTCGACAACAAACCTACACAGCGTCAGCCCAAAACTCCGCCACAAGAGTGGCGTTGTCAGTAGCCTTCATTAAATCTTCCTGCTTGCAGTTGTTTGGCAACGCAGGGCACGACATCATGTGCTTCGTCGACTGGGGAACAAAACCACACTTGAACTCCAAGTTTGATCCATCCAAGAATCCCCACCTGACACCTGAACAGATTGTCCTTACTACGGCAGACCTGTCCGAAGTCTATAAAGATTTCCAGGTAGGCCAGGGTATCGGACGGGTCCAGTTTAAACCTTAATTTAGCAGCGTTTTTCTTGTTGCGTAAGGATTTTAATTCATCCGTTAACCAAGGTGCAGGAACATGTTTGATTCTGACAGGTCGAATAGGAGCGTGCTTATCGTACAATTCAAGTAGAATTTGGTTAAAAAGAGAGACCTTTTCGTTCACATCCTCGGTATCCTCAATTTTATGCCATTCAGCATTCATAGCATCGAGTTTAAGTGCATCCATGTCTATGCCACCAAAATTGCGCTGCAAGAGGAATTTAGTCTTAGGTTTAGGAGGACGGAGTTTGTATGAGAGGTACACAAGGTCGTGAAAAGAAAAGGCGTCGGCACTGCACTGACCATGCTTGGCCACATGATCAAGAGAGGTGACAATCATTAGGTCAAGCAATGATGGGGCACAATTGGGAAAGAAGTGAGTAGCGTTAAGAGGGAGAATGTTCAGATTGCATGAGTCAATAATGGACCTGAGACGATGGGTGCGGGAGTCGGATTTGATGAGACACGAGTTAAAGTCTCCCATTAGTATGGTGTGAGAGTATAGAGGAGTCAGGTCTTCCAAGATTTTCTCAAAAGCAGAAAAATAGTCTACTCTTAAGGAAGGACTATAGAAGACACCGAGCAGAAATTTTGTATGGGACAAGTTTATTTCAAGGAAGAGGTGTTGTGCTAGTTCAGAAGAAGAGGAGGGAGGTGATGCGTCAATGATTGAGTAAGAGAGATGTGAACGAATATAAATGGCAATGCCGCCCCCAGTTCTGAGAATACGGTCGTTCCGGACTAGTTGGAAACCAGGAAGTGAGTAGGAAGTAGAAGGAAGATTTGGTTTAAGCCATGTCTCCGAGACAAGGANTGTTGTGCTAGTTCAGAAGATGAAGAGGGAGATGACGCGTCAATGATCGACTATGAGAGATGTGAACGAATATAAATGGCAATGCCGCCCCCAGTTCTGAGAATACGGTCGTTCCAGACTAGTTGGAAACCAGGAAGTGAGTAGGAAGTAGAAGGAAGATTTGGTTTTAACCATGTCTCCGAGACAAGAACTGCGTGCAAATGTTTCGTATCAAAAGCAGCCAGCATATCAGGGTAGTGTGCTGGAATGCTTTGTGCATTAATGTGGACAACATTAAAATTTTTTGGCACATCCGAAAACGCAGTGTGGAGTACATCAGAGAGAGGCAGTAAAGTAGAGTGGAAACTGTCATCATTCACTGAACAAGAGGAGAAAGAGTGAAAGTGATCAGATTGTTGGCTATCATTCGCATCGATTGCATTCATATTAGGTACAAATTAAAAAATAAATAAAAAAATAAAAAATTAAATTTGTAAAATAATACGTAAGGTTAACCACAAGTTAGTGCTTGAAACACACCAACCTGTACCTCAACCCACCAGCAGTCTAAAAGAGATGCCTTTACAAAGAAGAATGAGTATGAAAGAGAAAAAGAGAGAAGAAAAAAAATACAATAAAAATTAAATATTTTTGACACATTAGAGTGTGAAACGGAACGTTACTACATTGACAGTGACAATCGATCGTTCAAATTAATAATAGTCGTCAGTCAGCTGTCAAGCTGTCATACATACGTCGTACAAAAGACCGGTTTTTTTTAGTTTTTAGTTCAACCAGAAAAGTGACATTTATATTTAAAGCAAAGAAGTGAGGTAAAAAACGTAAAGTACAAAGCCGTTACAAAAATTAGTCTAATCAAAATTGGATATTAATTTGAGGGTAAAAATCGTACATAAAAACAAACAACAGCGAAGTATGTGGACAATGAACCAAAAAAAAAAAAACACATGCAANGCACATCCAAAAACGCAGTGTGGAGTACATCAGAGAGAGGCAGTAAAGTAGAGTGGAAGCTGTCATCATTCACTGAACAAGAGGAGAAGGAGTGAAAGTGGTCAGATTGTTGGCTATCATTCGCATCGATTGCATTCATATTTGGTACAAAAATATAAAAATAAACAAATAAATAATTAAATTATAAGTAAAATTACACGTAAGGTTAAACCACAAGTTAGTGCTTGAGAATACACCAACCTGTACCTCAACCCACCAGCAGTCTGAAAGAGATGCCTTTACAAAGAAGAATGAAGATGAAAGAGAAAAGGAAAAAAGAAAAAAAAAACAATAAAATTAATAAAATTAAATATTTTGACACATTGTGTGAATCGGAACGTTACACATTGACAGTGACAATCGATCGTTCAAATAATATCAGTCAGCTGTCAAGCTGTCATACATGCGTCGTACAAAAGACCGGTTTAGATTTCAACCAGAAAAGTGACATTTTTATTTATTAAAAAGCAAAGAAGTGAGGTAAAACGTAAAGTAGAAAGCCGTTACAAGATTAGTGAAAATCGTTACTTACTCGAGATATTAATATGAGGGTAAAAAACGTACATAAAAGAAAACAACAGCGAAGTATGTGGACGATGAATCAAAACAAACATGCAAGCAAACCTAGGCAAGGGACATAAGGCCTCAGCCTCGAACTTAGCGGGCAGCGGGGCGGCGGCGGCGGCGGCGCGGGAGCGGGGCGGGCAACGCAGACCCGTTCTCGAAACCAGCGGGCAGCTCGCGCGGCGCTTTAGCGGCGAAGTGTTGTATTCGGGGTTTGTATTGNCAGCATATTAGGGTAGTGTGCTGGAATGCTTTGTGCATTAATGTGGACAACATTAAAATTTTTTGGCACATCCGAAAACGCAGTGTGGAGTACATCAGAGAGAGGCAGTAAAGTAGAGTGGAAGCTGTCATCATTCACTGAACAAGAGGAGAAAGAGTGAAAGTGATCAGATTGTTGGCTATCATTCGCATCGATTGCATTCATATAGGGTATCAATTAGTGCTTGAAACACACCAACCTGTACCTCAACCCACCAGCAGTCTGAAAGAGATGCCTTTACAAAGAAGAACGAGGATGAAAGAGAAAAAGAGAAGAAAAAAAAAAAGACAATAAAATTAAATATTTTTGACACATTAGAATGTGAATCGGAACGTTATTAAATTGACAGTGACAATCGATCGTTCAAATAATAGTCGTCAGTCAGCTGTCAAGCTGTCATACATGCGTCGTACAAAAGACCGGTTTTTATTTCAACCAGAAAAGTGACATTTATATTTAAAGCAAAGAAGTGAGGTAAAAAACGTAAAGTACAAAGCCGTTACAAAAATTAGGCTAGTCAAAATTGGATATTAATATGAGGGTAAAAATCGTACATAAAAACAAACAACAGCGAAGTATGTGGACAATGAATCTAAAACAAACATGCAGGCAAACCTAAGGCATGGGACATTATGATTGACATGGATTATTTCCTACGTTTGGTCCTGGCGTTGGCTGCATCCCGAACCTGCGTCGCGCCGGCGAGCACCCCTGTGCTCGGAGCCTGGGGGGCTGTTGATGCGGACGCTGGGATAACCCTGTCCAACTCCCCCAGCGTCGTGACGCGGTGCTGTGCGCCATCCGCTGCCACGATGACAATGGTGCCGCTCCGGGTCCAACACTTTGAGATACCGACACGCTTCCGGGCCTCCATGAATGTATCGTGTCGTNGCCCCGCTGCCCGCTAAGTTCGAGGCTGAGGCCTTATAATTGATATGATTATTTCCTACGTTTGGTCCTGGCGTTGGCTGCATCCCGGGCCTGCGTCGCGCCGGCGAGCACCCCTGCGTTCGGGGCCTGGGGGGCTGTTGATGCGGACGCCGGGATAACCCTGTCCAACTCCCCCAGCGTCGTGATGCGGTGCTGTGCGCCATCCGCTGCCACGATGACAATGGTGCCGCTCCGGGTCCAGCACTTTGAGATACCGACACGCTTCCGGGCCTCCATGAATGTATCGTGTCGCGACTTGGTCAGGAACTCTGAGATTGTGATCCCGGTGCCCTTCAGAGCTGTCTTGGCAAACCATACCCTGTCCCTGTCGGCCACATCCCGAAATCTGACCAGCATGGGCCTGGTCTTGTTCTTGGTCATCTTGCCCATGCGACGACAGCCACTCATGGCGTTGTTAGGTAGCGTAAGATGTAAGCGCTCACCGACAAGTTTTGCCACCAATGCTGAAGGCTCCTCACCCTGCACCTCAGGAACCCCATGCAGCAACAAAATCTTGCGCCGACCACACATCTCCAATCTATCACACTCCCGCTGGATGAGGTCGGTCTGTTGCTGCAGATTGGATAGCGAAGCCAGAGTGAATTTCTTGAACGCCGCAAACTCCGCTGCCAAGGCTGCCACCGTGGTTGATGGAGTAGCCTGCTGCAGGCTCTTCTGGAAGTCTGCCATCTGAGTTGCAAATGAAGTTTGCATGTCGACAATAGCCTGTTGCAGTGACTCCATAGTTACAGTGTTGTTAGTGGTCTTGTGTACTCAGGAACTGAAGGATTTATCAACGTGGATTTGCTGGTAGGTATATTCGGTTGTATCAACACATATAGACTGTATTTACTTTATAAATAAAATAAATATTAATTAATTTGAACAGAGCCAAAAATTTACGTCTTTCCGGTTTCGCGCCTACCCGCGATTTTGTTATTTATAATATAACTTCATTTTTTTCTTTTATTTAAGCTTATAATCATGTTAAGGTTTTTAGAAGCTTTGTTAAAATGGCTGTGAAATAATAAAAATAATAAATAATATTTTAATTTCATTCATCGATTAAATAAAACGATCAGGAATGGGTGCATTAGGTATGTGTATCGGAAGTGTCGCAACACTCATACGTACGTAACCTAACACGCAGCGAAATATGTGTGCATGCGGTCCTAAATGATGATGATGCATTTTACACTAACTACTTATAAATAATTAATTATTTAAAACTAACTGTTCCCACGGCTCCGCCCGCATTGTTATTATAAGCTCCTTTAAATATATATTTTCTTCTGGATGAAAGGGATTTTTATCTTTTTCTGTAGTCCTACTAATTTTGTATACACGTTATACAAAATTTGATAAAGATTAGTTGTGTAAGTATGACGAAAAAGCTTAACAAACGAACCAATAAACAAACACACTTTGTATTTCTAAATAATGTAGTTAGGATTTCCATCGATAATAATGCTTGTTTACCTACACGTTTTAATACTTAGTTTATAAAATGTTTAAGAGCGTTGTAGCAAAAAGTTGGCGTTCGAATTTTAGGTTTTTATTGCTTGACGTCGCGTAGTGAGTGCGCAAACTGCATTTATCTGTACAATTTCAACGCTGCGTCGACTAAACGATCTTAATCCGTACTTGTATCGTACCTAAGACAGTACATCATACATAATAATAAAGAAATAATTAGACATGCCACGAATATTCGGCTACTATTCGGTATTCGGCCTATTCGGCCACTTTGTTTGGTATTCGGTATTCGGCCGAATAATAGGTACTATTCGGCCGAATACCGAATACCAAATCATTGAAAAAAAAGACACATCATATTAATCAAGATTTGTCTTTATTATCAAATTACAATACTTTAATAAGTAAAATTAATCAGCGGTAAGTTGTGATGGATGAAAACAAGCTTTTCAGCATTTTGACGGTAGCAATTCATTATCTTCAAGAAACGATTACGCTTTTCATCATAAATGATACCAGCTTCAGAAAACAACCTCTCACTATACACGCTACTCCCGGGAGAAGAAAGATAAACTTTAGAAAATTTCGAGAGGTTTGGGTATTGTTTTTCATTAGCTGACCACTTGTAGTAGCCTNTTTAAACAGAGGCAAAAATTTACGTCTTTTCAGTATATAAGATACCACTATAGCGAAATAAATTTGATTTGAATTAGAACAGAGCCAGGATATTTAAAGTGCGCGGTGTTTCCGGACGGATACGACCTGCAAGCTTTCAAGAAGAGAGCGTATCTTCACCTTATAGGCCGGCAACGTACCTGTAACGCCCCTGGGACTACGGGTGTCTATGGGCGACGGTAATCACTTTACCATCAGGTGATTCATTTGCTCGTTTGCCTCCTGTCACATAAAAAAAGTGTCACGTACACTGTAAGATAAAACAAACATGACATAACCTTCACTGGATACACAAGAGTTGCAGCGGTGGAAATGGAAGGTGGGAATAGTCCCATTTCAGATAGAATGCGTTCTATGGTGTTCTTGGGAAAGACACGTCCGACTGTAGACTTCTGAAGAGGATGATGAAGGTTAATTTACACAATATATCTACCCACGTAAAATTGACAGCTTCCGATCTTAGCTCATAGCCTATTTCAGGCCAATCATCATCTCTTAAGCTGACGTACCCTTATTTTTATCAGAGCACATATAAAATAATAAATCATTATATTTCTTTACCTTGAGCTTTTCATTAAGTTCTGCGTGTGCATTTGCTTCCCCTTTATAATCGCAGTCATAAAGACACCACGAACTTATAAATAGCTAAAACTAAACCACCACTGCAGTTAACGGTATAGTTCTCAAGTTTTCAAAACACGATATCGTGTAATAGTGGTATTGTTTAATAAATTCAAAGTTAGGTTCAAAACTGAGCGTGCGCCTATACCGCATATTGTAACCTCACTTTTGTAAGTAAGGCTTAGACCACACTTAGAAAAGACTTTTATCTATACTCGACGCAAAGATTCGTGGCCGGCAGGGCCATAAGTATTTTTTGAAATAGAAATGCACACTCGCCATCATTTTATTAATTATTACATATTATTAACAACGCTATGCCTGCCTCTGTGTGACGGCACCCTTAACCAGTGTGAGTGCGAGAGAAAACGAGATATGCACTGTCTTATTACCTTACTAGCTGACCCGGCGAACTTTGTTCCGCCTTAATGGCAATAAATAACGGGATAAAAAGTATCCTATGTCCTTCTCCTGGCTCTAAACTACCTCCCTGACAATTTTCAGCTAAATCGGTTCAGCCGTTCTTGAGTTATAAGCGAAGTAACTAACACGACTTTCTTTTATATATATAGATTATTACACCGCCTGCCACGAGTCTGCGCCGAGTATAAAGTAAGTAAGTAAATCTACAATAAAATATGCCGGACTAATTTAATGTGCGCTGTGACAAAATAAAGGAGAAATGGATTAGGAAAAAAATACTACATATTTGTGTCTATTCCCTGTTTTAAATAAAATATGTAACACACTAATTACAATTACAATCAATGGCATTGAAAATATTATAGTTGGTAGCCTATACCTTTATGTGGGGGTTAATTTAAGCCTCCATATCCTGATGGGACCACAATATAAAGAAGTTAAAACTGCACTGAATATACCAAAACCCTGTGTTTGACGTGGCACAACCGCATCCAATACCCGCGGTGTCGGTCGGGGATTATATCACTTGCATTAATTTCATTCAATTTGAAACACCTGCGGTCGCCCGCAAGCAGACGAGTTGCTGGGAGTGGTTTAAGTACGGGCTTATCAGATATTAATTTATGACATTTTATAGTAAAAATCTGTATTTAATAACCACCGAATTGATTAAGATGAAATAAGTAAAAAGTTTTAGACCCAAGGAAAAGTCTAGGATATTTTATTGGTTTTCTGAAGCGTGATAGCCCATATTCCACCAGCCTACACTAAACGTTTCGATAATTATTTTATAATGCGAATAGTAGGGACTGGAAGTCGCTGCCTGCTGCTGTCTTTCCTGAACACTATAATCCGGGCCTTTTCAAGGCGAGAGTGAATATGCACTTTCAGGATAGATATTTTATGTATCATTTTAGACTGCATCTCACTTAACACCAGGTGCGATTACGGTCTAATACCTGCCTTGTCATGCATACAAAATCGTCCTCAGCAAACAAGTCAGTGATCTAGAAATAAATCATAATTTTGACATAACGATAGCTCACATAGGTATCGTTCGCAATATTATGATGGTAGTTGGCAATAGTAAGTCCAAAAACACATCTCAAGATCCTAATTTGGAATTTACAGCTATTTGAATAAATCTAATCCGTGTGGTTGAACCTTTAAGCCCGCATATGAGATAACTTACCATGTGTGCCTACCACGCCTACCGCATGCTTAAAAAGTTGTGTAATTTTAAACTGTTCAACCTAAATTCTGATTTAGTGCAATGCTCCTGAGAATTATTTGAAGCATTTGATCACAATAGGTACATAAAATATTAAGGCCGGGTAACAGTGAAAATGGCGAAAATGAGGTTTTCATTTTTCATTTTTGAGGTACTAAACAGTAAAATAAAAGGCTAAGATTTTTTTTGGGCATAGTTGAGGATATTTTCTAGGGCTATTAACGGATGGAAACACGATTTGATGAAGTTGACTCGATAGAATAAATTCCCAAAGTTACCTCTATTCGTTTTCTAATAATGGTTTTATTTTTAAAATAAACGATTTGAGANTCAATCGCATCGAGGTTCTTTATTTTTGGTATTTCGTAGTAATCGCATCACTACTCTAAGAGATTCGTATTTGACCTCAATCGCATCGAGGTTCTTTATTACGATTTTGGTATTTCGGTAGTAATCGCATCACTACTCTTAGGAAATACATAGCTTAATAGCATTAAGGTAAGATTCCATGAACACGGTATGAACTTCATCACAGCACAACTCACATCATATTACGTACCTATGTACGAGCACAGATTGAACATAGTCGAAAACATTTTGCCATTCCTTTTACAGTTGGGTAAAAACAAAATAATTGTTTTGAATATTCCCCAAACTTATCTGCCTCTCAGTCGGTACACTCTTGCCAGAGTCAGAGTGGTCGTAGTCATCATTGTGATTCACGATGAGTGATGTTTTTTGCAATACGGCGCGATTCCTCGCAGACTGCAGCTTGCCAGGCACTTTCGGTTTAAAGAATCTTTATTCTCATAAGAACAGGGTAGTTCACTTACATGAGATTATAATAATTTACAACAATTGTCTTGTGACGAAGCATGCGCAAAGCCCACAAACAAAAAATAATGTAGGTATGTTACGCACGCCTAATCTATGAAGATCGCTGCATCGACGCTGACCCAGTTTACCCAAATCAAGATTGCACATTGCACTATGGACCGCGCGGAGCAGCATCAGCAAAACGCGTCTCTCTTGACAACAGCATCAGCAAAATGCGCCTCTCATGACGACAGCGGCGACGTTTAATTAATTTTACCAATTTTTTTATTTATTTATTTTATTTTAATTATTTTATTTGTTTAACAATGTTTCAACAGCATTAAATCCCAACTAATATTATAAATGCGAAAGTAACTCTGTCTGTCTGTCTGTCTGTCTGTTACGCTTTCCCGCTTAAACCTCGCAACCGATTTTGATGAAATTTGGCATAGAGATAGTTTGAGTCCCGGGAAAGAACATAGGATAGTTTTTATCCCGGTTTTTGAAACAGGGACGCGCGCGATAAAGTTTTTCTGTGACAGACAAAATTCCACGCGGGCGAAGCCGCGGGCGGAAAGCTAGTTGTACATAAATGTGCAGGAAGATACAACTTGAACATAAGCCAATTAAAGAAACATAT